AGTCGTCGATGTGAATAGCGACAATAAACCCGATATTGTTGTTGCAAACTATGGTTCGAACAGCATCAGTGTTCTTCTCAACACAGGAAATGGTACCTTTACCACTCAAGCTACTTACTCAGGTACCAATAGCCCTGCAGGATTAGCGGTCGTCGATGTGAATAGTGACAATAAATCGGATATTGTTGTTGCAAACTATGGTTCGAACAACGTCGGCGTTCTTCTCAACGCAGGCAACGGCACCTTTAAGGCTCAAACTACTTACTCAGGTATCAGTGGCCCTTCAGCAGTAGCGGTCGTCGATGTAAATGGGGATAATAAACCCGATATTGTTGTTGCAAACCAGGGTTTGAATAATACCGGTGTTCTTCTCAACACAGGCAACGGCACCTTTAGCGCTCAAACTACTTATCCAGTTGGTACTTCTCCAGCATCAGTAGCAGTGGTCGATGTGAATAGCGACAATATACCCGATATTGTTGTTGCAAATAGGGATTCGGCCACCGTCAGTGTTCTTCTCAACACAGGCAACGGCACCTTTAACGCTCAAACTACTTATCCAGTTGGTACTTTTCCATTATCAGTAGCAGTCATCGATGTTAATAGTGATAACAAACCTGATATTATTGTTGCAAACACTCATTCGAACACCGTCAGTGTTCTCTTGCATTGCTAAAACTTATCGATGGCTAACCTTTATTTACTCATTAACACTTTACTACACTATTAAGTATATTACTCTTATGTAACATTACACAATACAGATTAACATTTATCTTCACTCTATATTAAGATTTTTAACAAAGCTTTGCGACCAAGGTCGCCACCTCTTCTACTTTTTTTCTGTCATTTCTGCTTTTTCAATTTTTTTTTGCTTTCCAAGATGTTATCTGCTTTTCATTTTTAACTCAGTTTCAGTTCTAATAAATCATTATTCCATATATATTCGGTGAATTCTTAGTGATGCATACTGTTTTTTTGTCGTCTTTGCTGTATAATGGAATTAATAAGATCACGATCTTGGATTTCCAATAGTTAATAAAAACGGCCAATATATGCACCACTTACTAAGGGCGTTCTTTACCGATATCTTTCTTTCTGAAGTATTTCCCACCAATCATGTAAATCTTTCAATTCATTGTACACAATCTTCTGTCTATTGTTCGTTGTTAGTTAAGAATATAATAAGCTGTAACATTGAGAGTGTGGATATGAGTGTTATATGAATACAGTATCAATACTCACATTTACACCTACCAGTTACTTTATGTACTCTAGTTTAGCTTGTGTTCTGACACTGTTCTCAAAAGAGGCAGTTCGATAGTTGCACGCAATCCTTTACTCATTAGATTGGGTACTAATCTACCTGATCTTTCATTCATTATTAGATCAATGTTGTTTTCCTTTAAAATATGTGGTGATTAATCGATTTTGAGTCTCTTCAAAAATTTTCAACCCTTAGGTACCCTTCGACGATCGAAAATCAATCAATTTACCTAGAGCAACAGTTTTATCGCTTAATTATCTTTAATTTTACTTAAAAGTCATGACTGGAACTGGTACATGCCTATTACTCATCTTCACTTTCAAATAAAAATGTCATATGAAAAATATAATATAAACTGGAAAAAGAAACAGCAAACATTAGTAAAAAGCAGTAAACCTCATATTCAAATAGAACGGAGAAAAAAAATTGTTTTTTAATGACGTATTTAGAGAAAAGTCTAAGTTTATTTCTGGATTCTATTGCGATCATCCAGTTGTATCCATTTTTCTTTTAATTCCATCTTCAATATTATCTAATGTATGTTGTTCATATGCAAATGGTACTTTTGGATTATGTTTGATATGATAATAATCAGCTATATCGTCGTGATATTTACTCATTAAATATTCTCCCAATATGCTTCTTTGTATTGCAGAGACAGGAACTTCATACTGAAGTCTTTTTGGAAATTCTGTGTATGAATAGAAGGGTCCAGCATCGCCATTAAGACTAAACGTATTATTTCGCATGAACGCTTCATGACATGTTTCATGTACGATGAGATGGGTATGCTTGGATCTCATTCCTGCCAATCCCGCTGGTTGATGATGGAAATCATGATGCCCATCATGACCAGAATGTCTAAAACATGGAGCACCACATAATCTACAGGCATGATTACATCGAGGTTTAGCAGCATCTCCAGTATTCTCTTGAATATTATTCAAAACCATCTTAGTTTCGTTTTTCTTTAGCAGTGATATAGGCTCCTTTGGAACTGCTGCTTTCAATGTCTTGACTATTCCTTCGAATATATAAATGGATTCACTATCAATATTACCATACAAACTGTTATTGACAACATCCGGTAATCGAGAAGTTATTAAAGATGGTAAAATCGGACTATGTAAAGTTTTAAGAAAAATATTCAGACGATCGTCTGAACTATTTTTTGCTTCATCTCCAGCTTTTGTAATAACATACATCGTATCATTGTAGAATATGCTCCATTTTTGCTTTGCGTATTCATCAACATGAACTTGAACAAACTTTTCTGTACATTTTTCATAAAAAGACGTGGCGGAACTAATTTGATCTAATAACGTTCTAATGCCATCCTTCTTTAGTATGTGAATTTTTTCATTATCTATATAAGCTTGTAGAATATTACTATTGCCAATCCATTTCAATTTACCAACGTCAGCTGCTACATCTTGTACCAATCTTTCAATAAATCCATCTTGCCATGAGTTATTAAGTTTTTCATAAATCATCAATTCAAATAGTTTAATACCTCGTACTCCTTCAACAACTTTTTCAAAGAAGACCTGTAATTCAGTACGACGCTCTTCTAAACGTCTTGTACGGTTATGATTGAAATTCCATTTGTCTTGCAGTTCGTTTAATTTGTATTCTAAATAGCAATAAGTTTCGCGATGTATATTTTTTATTGTACCAGTAAAAACAATTTGACGTTTGTCAATGATATCATCAATACGTTCTAAAACTTTATTAACAATAACTGGTTCATATTGACTAGCACTGGTTACTAAATCAAAAATATGCGATTTGATTTCATCTACAGCTTCATTGAATTTTTTAGTTTCTTTGATTATTCTATAATTATAATTTCGTTTTTCTTCTTCAGCTTGATTGTTTTGAATATGTCTTAATTCATTTTCTTTCATTGAAAATCGTTTTGAAGAACCATTAGTATGACAAATTTCATTTTCATCAAATATTTTAACACCTTGAATAACTGCAGTATTGTTATAAATTGCTTTAATTGCAGAAGGAATATCTAATACACGATGATAAGGTTCTTGAGCTTCTTGGGTACGATGTTTCAGAACATTATCAAAAATTCTTTCTTTCTCTTCTTTTGTCAGATCAGTACAATTTATTTTATCACATTCGTTGATAAAATCTCGTCGAATTTTCTCTTCTGTTTTACTATAAAAATCAAAATTCGTTATTTCGCGATCAATTTTTGCTGCTAAAATCTTTTTACTACTTTTTTCTTTTCCGATAATAAAAGATTCCCAATCTTCTAAATGATGCAATTCACGTTTAGTTCCTGTAATAAGTTTACGTATTTCATCTTCTGCTTTTACTGTATAATTAGCCATCATTTCTAATACTTTAATATGTGCACGATCAATAAGATCTTCAATTTCGGTATATGATAATGTTGAACTGCTGGATTTTTCTAAAGAATTTTTATATTCTGATATAGTTTTGTTTTCTACTTCACTTCTAATTGTATGATAAATTGATGATATATTATGTTTAATCTTTTCAATTTGATCATTTAATTTATTATTAGCCCAAATTTCTAATGATGTACTTACACTAGAAATATGACGAGCTTGACGAATCATATCACTCACTGTTTCAAAATAATTAGCCATATCTGGAAGAAATCGTGCTTGCCATGGGCGATTATCAGTTGAATTAATAATTCTTAGATCAATCCATTGTCGTAAATATAAAGATTGTTCACCAAATAAATGGACTGGATGATTAATTGGCGGATTATTAGTATTAACAGATAGAATCCGAAAATCTGAATTTGATAAATTTTTTAAATCAAGTCTACATTGTTCAAAACCATAAAATGGTACTTGTTTAGAAGACACCGTTTGAACTATTTTATCAGTTACTTTATGTAAACGAGTTGTTAAATCTTGAAGTAATTCGATTCCCTTTTGTGGTTGACTTGGATCGATTTGATTATAAACAAAAAATAATTTCGATGGTATTTGTCCACCAAGTTGTAATGATAATGAACTAGTTGCATATAGGTATAAAACTATAGGTAAAACATCTTCTAAAGCTTGATTAACTTCACCTTTATTGAGTAAAATAGTTCCATCCGCAGGTAAAATAGCGAATGTAGCTAAAGTATTATCTCTTATTTCAGCACCTGGCATTGAACTAAATTCTGGAGCTCTTAAACCTTCTGTGTCCAATACAAGTATATAATCATATTCTTGATGAAGTACTTTAACTAACATCATATTGACACCTTGAGTACAAGCTCCAACGCTAGATCGTATTCGAATACCATACATCGTTTTTAATAAAGAAGATTTTCCAGAACTTTGAGGACCGCAAATAGATAACACCAATATACGACCTTGCCGACCTAATTCTTCCATTAGTATGTTATCTAGTGCATCGAATACATGTTTAATCCATTGAATATTTAATAACATTGAATCGCCATCTAATAATTCTAATGGAAAACCATCCATTAAATGTTGAGCAGCTAAATGTGGAAATTCTTGATATTCTAGTCTATCAACAATATATAAATGAGACATTTCTCGCCAAAGATGTTCAACAACTAGAGATGTATCAATAAAATCCTTTTTAGCTTTATGATAGTTTTCGATTGCTTGTTTTTCTTTTTCTTTCAATGTCGAAAGTGTGTTTACGTCATTGTTTGCCATCATAGCTTCCTTCATTGCTTCTGTCATTATAATAAACATTGAATCTCGTGTCTTTCTCAAATTTGATAATGTTTTCTCACTATATTCTGATAAAGCAAATTCAAATTGACGCTTTTGGATATAACGTATTTCATCATTAGGTTGAGCTATTAATGAAATATAAGATTTTAAAATAGGAATTTGTGCTACATTTTTATACACTTTTGATCGAATTTGTCTTTCGTCACGAATACTTTCTTTTAATTCTTCTATACGAGCATTATTTAACTGTAATGCTGGATTATCCATTTCTAATTGACTTTCGGCTTCTTTCTTATAACTATGCTGCAATTGGAACTCTTTTTTTCTTAACTGCGCTACATCGACATCTTTGAATAATGCCTCTGTCTTTAGCATTGGTATATCATCATCAGTAAACAATTCTACATCTTTGATAAGATCTATTAACCGAGGTCGAAGTAACATCGTTGGTATAGTTGAACGGAGGTAAGAGCTTGAGTCGGATGCTATTTCTAGCAAATATTTCTGATATGCAGGAGCTACTGCTGTAACACTTCCTTCAAATTGATCTACCATATAAGGTGTATCGGATGAATTAATTTCAAAAAATTCAGCATCTATCGTATGCTTCCATTTCATTATTCGTTGAACGCGTAATGATTTTAATACTGGATCATAATCAAAGGATGCAAAATTTTTATCATCATCATTGTATTCAACAATTAATGTATCAACGTATTGCGCAAGAAATGATAATAATGGACGATATTCACCTATGATATGAATTAATATAACCGGTTGATAGGATAAAGAAGACGTACTACTTGGTAAAAATCCATATCCAGTTTCAACAACAATTTGTGCATTAATTCCTGTACCCATTCCTTGTATATGCTGTCGAATAGATGATACTTGAAAAACATTTTGTATTAAATCAGGTAATCCACCTATTTTTCTTTGAACTGTTGAAACTAATCCAATACGTAACAATCTAGAATCCATGGATAAAATGTTTTCTTCCGGTTGAAGTGCAGCTGTTTCAACCAAACTTAAAGTTTTGATATATGACCGGAAAAATGGTGAAAGAGGAAGCGTAGAAATTGATGAAGAAGTACGACTGTTTGACACTAAGATCGGAACTAGCATTCTTTGATCTAGTTGAAGCTTCATTAGTTCCATTCGAGCATCCATACCATATGTTTCATAAATAGATAAACAAATATCATAAATACTTATTGTATTCGATGATTTTCGATTTTTAATATGTTGATTATTCTCCGAGCCAAGTTTCAATAGACTAGTACGATGTTTAATAGCTGATAAAAATTTTCTTTTTAAATTATTGAATTGTGAATCAAATTTTGTTGAATTTTCTGAAGGAAAAACTGGAAGTACTGCAATCATACTCATATAACTTGCACCAGAACGAAATTGAATAGAAGAATGATTAGAAAAACGAAATGGTAGAGGCATAATAATGGAATAATTCAATTTGGTCTTTATAGTTTCCTTATTGGAAAATGATTCAACCAAATTTGATAAAGTTTGTACATGAGTTGATGATTTTTGTTTATTACATTGTTTCAAATGCATAACATACGATGAGATAGAATGACGTCGAGATATATGTTCCGATCCACCTAATCGTTCCAGAGTTTCATTTAAATATTGATATAGAGCTTTTTCATTGACAACATTTATTAAATGCCACGTTTGATCATATTTTTGGAAAGTAATAAGATTGAATATACCTATTGGTTGATAAATTAATTTTGGTGTTTGTTTTTCGTTTAAAAACTTTTGAGCATAATCTAAAGATTTGTTTAATAAATCTAATGTTGTATGAATAGTAGAAGGTTCACATATTTTTTGAGAAAAAACTGGATATCGAACAATTAAACTTCGACATAACCAAGCTAATATATGTTCAACATGAGTTCGATGCTTTTCAATTTGATTACCTCCACGAAACAGAAGAGATTTTAAAAAATCGAATATCTTCCATGTTGTTCCTTCTTCTTGCCCATTTATCAATGCTAACTTAGATAAAACTCCGACAATATTAAATAAAGATGGTATTGCATCCATTTCATGATGAATATTTATAAAATGTTTTTCTAAATGATGATTGTTAATGAAAGCTTTTGTTTCTTCTTTAGCAAAGAATAATGATCCGACAGAAATACTTCGAAGTTTAGCGTGATGCAAAGTGACTTCTTTAGACAATAAATGTAATGTTGATAACTGTGCAACAGTCCCTCCTAATCCATGACCACATAAAACTAATCGAACATTAGAATATTGTCGTAATAATTCTTGAAAAATAGGTAAAGGTAATATATCAACAAAAGATAAAAATGATGGATCGATATTGTTACGATAATATAAATTATCATTATTATTGAAAGAAAATGAAGAAGGTGATGTAATTGAAGTAGTTTTAAATGTTTTTAAGAAATTCGATAATAAATCTTTTTCAGGATACGATGGAAATGTTAAATAAAATGTTATAGTTGAACTACATTCTTGAATAATCTCGAATTTTTGAGCGATATTTTGTAATATTTCCGAATTGGATTCATTCCAATTTATTGATAAATATTGAAAATTAGTCTTTTTCTCTTCTTTACCTTGATTATCGATTTCTTTATTATAATATTTTTTCTTGTGATCATCATTTTCTATTGACATGTGATCAATTGCAGTTGCTAACAGAAATGTATAATTTTTTTCATATTGAGTGAATAAACGTAAATGTCCATCGTCTAAGTACGTTTTTGGAAGATATTTCAATAAGTAATCTTTTACTGTCACGCCCATATCAATACTACCACTATACGATTGCATAAACATGGTACATATATCAACATCTTTATTAATAGAAAGATCATCAGGTATTTGTAAGTTGGGTTTACGACAAACATCAGTATAGACGCATGGGATTAGATATGCAAGTATAATGATGGAAAGGTATACACACATCGAGGACTTTCTTTTTCTGCTCATTTTGGTTCTTTGTTTAATACTTTAATTCAATAATCTATAAAAAGAACTTTATAATCAATACAAAGATAAATACTAATCCGGTCAAACAGACATTTCGAAAAAACGAGTTAAACAAGCTACTAGAATTTTCAGCATAACGCAGGCTTTCAATGATTATTTTTGTACCATTTCAGGTAATACAATTCGTGCCTTTTCAAAATTTCTATTTGATCGGGAATCTTCATGCCTACACAATTGAAAATTTCCAATTTTGACTCTGTAAAAAAAGAGAAAAATCAGTTTATCCCTTACTAAATGCTCAAAACTTCCCATGAGTCTTTATTTTTACAACATTGCCATTCGAATATAAATAAACCGTATATTTAAAATACATAAAGTAGACAACATGAGTGTATGATCGTATGAGTAACTTGGATCTACTGCTAGAGCCCATTGGGTTCAACATTTTTGGACCCGAAATCGAACAATACTCTTAATTTCAACGAATTTTTTTATATCAATCTGGTAGTTGCTTCGAAGAGGGTGTAATCTAATAAAAATCAAGTCATAATTAACTGTTATTTTTAGAATAGTTGGTATCAGGTCAGGCCCGGACCTACTGGATCTGAAATTAAGTCCAACGGGCTCCATCTATGGCTTGTAAATTCGGAGGTTTTTGATAATTTTAGTCTCCAAAAACGAAAGTAATTATGTTCTAAGATTGTAGCAATACTATTCTCGATCGTGTGTCTTGTGAATAGTGCTTATCTTCTCAGTTTTTAAATTACTTATGTCTTTTGTGTTTTCGTTCTTTACCACTATCTATACGATGGTAAATCAGTATAAAAGTCCTATGGTCAAGTATATATTTACCTTATTTAGCCAGATTATTCTTTTCAGACATTAGATGAAATATGCACTGTTGTCCATAATCATAAGTTTTATACAGCTGCCGGAATTATCTCTTTATATATCTTATGTATCGGTGAATGTATATATATATTAGCTTTTAGAGGAAGATTGCATGTGCGTTAGAATCTACCTAGTCAACATTAAAAACACATTATGATATGTAAGAGTGACGCCAAGTGAGAAAGAATAGAAAAAAAGATAAGCTGAAGAAATATCTCGATGCATAGCGAACAAACAAACAAAAATTCTTTTATATACATATAGATAGATGATCTAAATAAAAATTGATTAGTAGACGAACATAAAACGAACAGCACAGTTTCCTAATGATAGAAAGATTAATGAAGAATAATATTAATACATTCTTTTTTTTATTATAATTATATTAGATTGTAATATTCTGATAAATATTTTTTTGACAAGCTACTCTTTTTTAATTATTCGCAGATAAATTAAAGAGCAAAAAAAGATATTGCAATATTTCGTCGAAAAAATAAAAATGACACCCATACTTATGCCAAACTTGTTGTTATTCATTTAGGTGCATCCATACCTACTTTAATTTATCAAAGTACGTTAATTTTCAAACCAACGTAGAAGCTGGTATAAGTAGCTCTCAGGATCAGCGCCTTTTTCTCCTCCAGTATAATAGTAGTAAAGTTCTTTTACGTCCTATCAGTTGAATATTTTCATTGTAACTAACTCGATATGACAGATGCCTGATTTTTTTCAACGATTCCTATGAACTGATCGATATGTAATGTAAAACTCTATATTTTGCTAGAAAGAAAAGTTAATGTTTCAATTTCAATAGTTACAATTTTTACGAACACAATGACGTAATCTGATATTGTTTTAAATGAACTTCAACAAAAACGATTGTACACGTAATAATTACAAAATATAGAGAAAAAAAACAAGTATCGTACTCAATTGTTATAATATGAAATATATGCATATATACAACTACAAACGTTCCGTACATTTCATAATTGAATGCCAATTATAGCAGTCTTTACTGTTCTTATAGATTATAAGCTTCATTAGTCAAATTTCTTTTTTTTCTGCTCATTTTCTTCCGTTCTTGACAAAAAAATTATTTTATAACAAAATAGTAAAGAAAAAGTAGTGATGTGGAGTGGTAGAGTATCGGCAGCTATTGCTAATGATGAAACAACCAAAACTAATTCACTTGTATCTAAATTAATTCATTATACTACAAAACTTACAACTGATAATGATCGACGACAATCATTTCTGGATATACCATCAGATGGGTTTGTATTTTATTTTTTACCTTAAATTATTGAGTAAAAGGTTTTTAAGTTGACCTCTAATTATAAAATCTGAAAAAAAGAATTTCACATGTGTTTTAAACTAAACAAAGAAAGAAGGAATTAAAAAGAAAATTTTGTTAACTGGTGGCATCTATAGTAAAAATCAAAGAGTAATCTTTCGAGGCTACTACCTTGGTTAATTTCATTAAAAATGGTTACTTTATTCAAACTAACTATGAAACAAAATCTGAAAATTGAATCTTTTGCAAGTGATGATCTCCTTTTTATTTAAATAAATTTTGAAAAACATATAAGAAATGAGTACTACGGGATCATTAAAAACAGCTGGTAGTGTTGCAAATCATGCACGTAGTGATCAATCAATAAGGTTTATTTATTTTTTCTATCTTATATTATAATGTAAATTTATTGAAAATAGAAAACCTCGCTTAGCACCATTATGGCCCGAATGGAACGATGCTGATGTTAATGCTGAATCATGGGAAATTGGAAGTGGAAAAAAGAAAGAAACAGCAGCGAGTAGAGCTCGTGCTGATACAAAATCAGCTAGTGTAGCAGTATGAAAATAATAGAAAATTAATATTTAATATTATATTGAATATTCTTCCTTTAGGGCACACATGGATTTGAAGATCCTGAAGGTAAAGTTGAACTACCTCCAACATTTAAAGTCGAACAATGGAAAAGACCAGTCGATTTTTTACCACCGGAAAGAGTAAAAACAATGAATTGAATGCATAGTTCATATGAATAATTAATTTATTATAGCCACCGGTAATTGTCGATCCTGATCAAGGTATGCAAAATTTTGATTTAGTCACACCAAATGAACATTTACATTTCAATGAAGTAAGATCATTTTATTTTTCAATTGTAATTTTCTTCTTCTTATTATTATTAATCAAAGACAATGCGCAACATTATTAGTCAGATTACCGCATTATGGGATATTTGCCGACGAGAACGTAAACATACAAATTCACCATCAGAAACTACTACAGAACCAAATCCAGCTGTTTTAAGTGGACGAACATGGCGTCCATGGGTTTGTTTTTTCTATGTATTACATCTATGTTATTAATATTCTTAATTTTTTTAGGAACATATATATGCCTTGAATAAAGTATCTAGACAACCTTTTATACCTCCATACAATCCTGCAGGCAAATATGTTATTCGACTTTTCTTTTTGGTTTGTATTTACAAAGACAAATATTCCACATATTATATTTTATTTCTTTTTGAAATAATTAGGGTACATGGCGAAAAATTATTGTTGATGATACAATTCCATTTGATTCGAAAAATCGTTGTCTTTTACCACAAACATCATTATCATATGAATTATGGCCAATACTTTTAACAAAAGCTTTATTAAAAATAATGTCACTTGAGTAAGAAATTCATTTCATTATTTTCTTTATTGAAAAAAAGCGCATTCTTTTCTTCAACTATAGTTATCGTCCACCAAATACAAATCCTACATATAATGAAACCAGTGTTATTCATACACTTACTGGTTGGGTACCAGAACCTATTCCATTGAAGTATGTTTTTATAATTTACAAAATTCTATATACGAAAACTTTTCTTTTAGATACACACATGCAGGAAAAGTATGGGAATTTCTTCGTTACGATCGTTCAAATAAAATCGTAGTGGATAATGAAAATGTAGCCAATAAAATTGAACAACGTTCAACAAGTCCATTACCAGCTTTTGGTCCTGTACCATTATATAAATGGCCAGAAGCAAAAGTTGATGTACAAGAAGAATCTGCATCATCACATGCAAATGTAAAATCTTTTATAAAATTTATATATATATAAATGTTTTTTTTCTTTCTGTTTAAAAAGGAACAAGTGGGTCATCAAGATGATACAGGAACTGAAACTTTAACAAAAAAATCTGATGAAAAAAGTGCTAAAAAGGCAGGAGCACCAGCTAGTCTAACAGTACCAAAAGATACAACTACAAAAGCAGCAGCAGGAAAAGAAAGTCGAACAGGTAAAGATTCGAAACGATTTGGAGGTGCTGGTCGTGGAGGTACAGTAGAAGATCCAGCAGCTATTATTGATGATCAAACCATACCTGAAGCACCAAAAATGATTGTATTTGCTAATATACCACATTCACAACCAGCACGTAATAGTGCTTATGGTGAATTAGCAGATAGAAGTGAACGATTACGACGTTATAATCTTAATGATACATTTTCAACTTCAATGTTATTAACTACAATTCGAGATATTCCATTAGAACCACCACCACCACCAGAATATGTACCTCCATGGAAACTTATTCGACCAAAAAAATCAAAAACATTACCTCATGCTGAACCATTTAGTAAGTATTTTATATATATAATAAAAAAAAATTATAATCTCTATAAATTTTTGTTAGCTCCTCGAGAACCAAAACCTGATCGTTACATTGAAATAACATCTCCATATATTAATTATCCATCTCCAAGTGTACTTAATATGTACGTAAAACGTTTTGATTTGTTTTGATTTTGCTTAATATTTAACAAACTAAAACAGAAAACCGACGATTCGACTTCATCTGATTAATAGTTGTAACACGTAGGAATTTTATTTGCTTTGATTTTGCTCTTATTGCTTTTACTGTGCTTAGATTTCATTTTTTTAGTTTATCTTTATATTTTTTTTCAAAGAAATATTTTTTATTATTCTATATATATTTATATCTATATAGGAATGTTCATACACCTAATCATGGTGCAACATCACGTTTAAGTCATTCAGCAACACATTCAACTGGTGTTGATGTACAGGAAATACTTGAAGTTGATGAAGATGAAGATGCAGAACATAATGAATCACGACCTGAACTTGATATTGATCAAGCTGATACAAGTTTAATGTCACCTGCTAAAGAGGTTTTATTTTTAATTGAATTTGTAATTATAAACAAAACTTGTTGTTTTGTTTTAGTTAAATGTTGTTGATACACCAGATGGATTTGATAGTTCTTTACGTAGTGCAGGAAGTACACTCCGACAAGAACGATCAGCTGATAAAAATAAAGTATAGATATACCTGAATTTGTACCGATATTATCTCGTTAATAAATATAGGGTAATCGAAAAATGACAAGTAGTAAAATCGAATTACCCAATGCAAAACTAATATCAGATGCTGCATCTGTTAAAAGTAAAGGTCGGAACTATTATTATTATTAGTAATAGTAATAATAATCTTATTTTAAAATTAATTATTTAGCCGCTGAAAGTGAACAAAATTCAGCACAGGTAGATTTGGCCGCAACTGCAAATAATGAACAACAAGATTCTCAATCGAAAACAAATGATGCACATTCAAGTCCTAAACCCAGTCAACCAATGAAAAAATCTTATACAACACCAAAATTATGGATGGATTTTGAAGATTTTTGTTCATGTTTTACATCAATTGTTGTTTTTCATAATCCTCGTGGCTATCAACATACACAAAAACATACAGAAATAAAGGTAAAATACAACTTTTGTTTTTTTTAATATGCAATTTTTTATTTCTTATCACGATAAATAAGAAAATAATGCACATATGTTTCTTTTTAGTTTTTTACAGCACAACAGGTAATTGTTTATTAAAAATTATTAAAAGATATATTGCTTATCGCTTAATCATGTACATATATCTATATATAAACATATTTACCTTTATATATAACTATGTGTCAATCTAACCCTTATTTTTATTTATATAATCCTCTTCTTATATAAAACCATGCCACAGTTTAATTTAAATTATCTTTCAATGGAATAAAAAACATTTGTATGATAGAATTTCGCATGAAGTAACAGCTTATAAGTAAATTCCATTTTATTGTGTAAAAGAATATGTTTTTTCGTTTTATCTTTTCGAATATAATTTAATTAAACTGTGACATAATTTCTTGTTTTTTACTAATCAATAAAAATCTTTATTTTATTTTAGCCTGCTGTTACTTCTTTCACAAAAGAAAAGAAGAAAGATCCTAATCCACCTGCTACTCAACAAGTACCTGTAAGTTATTTATAATAGACATTTTTCTTCTATTTTATTGATTAAATAGAATTTACAAGATGAAAAATCACCATTATATTTATTTGTCGATAATACACGTGAAACATTAGATAAAAATATTGAATTAATTGTTAGTTTAACATCATTATCACGTTGGCATGATTCAGGACAAGTTGAAGGTGGAGGTCCAACTGGTCCATCAATACCAACAATACCTGAAAAAGGTGGTCGAACAACAGGTCTATCAACGGATAGAGCACCTCCAGAAGTTAGTCCTGCAAGAGGTTACGCAGGTAGACATCGAGCAAGTACTGTGGAAATGTTAACCCCAACACCTGCACTACATGCGAATATTCATGAGCCAAGTGTTCCTGAAATTCCTATAGTATCACAAAAAGATACAACACCACAAGCCGGTTCACTTATTGCAGAAATTTATTCATGGAAATCAGTTTCAATGGGACAACCCATACTTCGTCTTCATACAACAGCAACTAAAGCTGCTCTTCTTACATTACCACCAGGGTATATATATATAGTTGAGAAAATTTCAATAGAAATAATATTCTATTATTATTTTAGACGACATGTATTGAAATTTAGTGTAACATGTCCATTAGCTTCTCATCTTCTAATAATGTCTGATACACATGATTTTATATTTGGTGATGAAGATCATTTATTATCAAAAATTGTTGCTGTTCCAGTAAATTTTTACTAAATTTTTATTGTAATATAAAAACAAATTATTTTGAATTTTTAGGAAGATGCTGAATATACTGTACGTGCTGAAGAATTATTTCTTGCACTTGATGATGCTGTACAAAATTTTAATAATATGGATCAACAAGATAATAAACTTACTGATTTATTTCGTTTATATTGTGAATATGCTCCTCAATCATCAAATCTTACTATTCATGCGTGTTGGAAAGCATTTAATGACGCTCTCTACACAACCTTACGTACAATATTGAATGGAGCTGGACAAACACTTAATACTGAAACACAATTTGCTTGGCGATGTTTTACTAATGATTTAACAACATCTGATATTATGGGTGTATATGAAACAAGACAAAGTATGATTTTAATTATGAATTATCTTATATATATATTTATTTATTTATTTATTTAGATACTGTAAATGCAGCTCGTAATTCTGCTCGACCTGGTAATGCATCAGTTGCAGCAAATCCACCAGCAACTACAACAACAACAACTGGAAAGAAAGGTGGCGGAGGAAAAGATAAAGGTGCAGCTGAGGATAAAACATCTAGTAAACAACAACCACAATTAGCTACATCATTATCAACAGCTGATTTGCAAGGTTCGAAATTACTATTGTTTTGTTTTTTGTAAAATAAAAATTTAATTTTTCTTCAAATTCTAGAAGAACAGATATCAGATTGGTTAACTCGAGAATTATCACCAAATGAAACAGAAGCTATTTTAAATATTCAAAAAAGTGCTCGAGGATATTTACAACGACGTATATTAAATGCTCGTACACCTGGTACAGAAAAAAATTTACTTATACAACGAGCATTACAAGCAACAATGATAATACTTAAAAATGATATGACAAAATCAGCAATACTTCTTTTTAAGTAATAAATTCCATTCTAACTTAACATGAAATTTTGACTTATTTTTTTTTTGTTTTATTTGAATAGAAATTTAATGAGTACTAAACCACAATTAATTCAATGTTTTCAATTTCGTAATGATGATTGGAATATGGTAACCTATAAAGATTATCATGGACAACATCAAGAACAACCAGCAAATACTTGGTTTACTCTATTTCGGTATATATTATAGATTAACTATTGATATATTTATTTGTTTACCATTTTTGTTTTCTTCAGAGAAATTTTTTATGTTATTGAAGAAGGTTTTGTTTCTGCTAAATTACTTGCTCACGCACAAAATTCACTATTACGTGTAATTAACAATGATACATATGAAGAAATGCCACTTATTTTTAATCGTTTAGCTCCAGCTATGTTTACAAAAAATAAAGTAAATGAATTATTTCTTCAAAAAAATATTAAAAAAATTGTTTTATTCTCAATAATCAGCTTGGTTATACATTTTTTGCCGAAGGAATAACATTAGAGCAACCACTTGTAAATAATCGATATCGTCTTCGATTATTAACATCATATACACAATTACCTGAACCACGAATAGAACAATTAACATCAACATTTCTTACAAAAGAAATAAAAGGATATTATGTTCCAAATAAAGAAGAAATTATATGCAGGTAAAATATTCAATGATTAGAAAATCTCAAAGAAAAAACTTCTTCCTTTTAAGATATCGTGTCATTGTTGCTGATGATATTAATCAAACTGGACGTAATTTTCATTTGGCTAGCATCCAATTCAATACATCAAAATCGGATGTTTCAATGCGTTTAACCATATTAGACAATAACCAAGAAATCGTTAATGTTGAAGGAAAAGGCAGTGTTGTTTTACCTGCTATTCTATTCCTTCGTGATGTTACTAATACAATAAATACCATAGTACAGGCACCTGCACCAGCACCAGCACAAACAACAACAACAGCAACAGCTCCATCGACATCAAGACCAACGTCAAAGACTGGAGGTTTAATTTCTAATATAAACATATAATTATTTATTAGTAATTTAATTGATAGGTAAAAAAGATAGCAATAAAGGTGCGGGTACTGCTCGAGGAAGTATTACTGAAACAACGGCAACAATTCCTACTACTCGAGTAGAGAAAGATAAAGGTGGACCTGGAAAAAGAAGTGTAAGTTATCATACGTATACATATATATATATATATATAAATATATTATTCAATTTGACATTCATTTTAATCTAGTCAAATAACAGGAAAAAAAAGGTTCAAGAGAACGCATCGATATATATATATTGTTTTGATATTTTTTTTTGCAAATATTCTTTAATTTCCTGCATGAAATAAGAAACCTTTCTATTCACAAATGAATTTTGTTGTATAATGAAATAAATATTAATTATAAAAATTATATTTTAGAGATCAAGTAGTCGAACAGGAATAGTAACAGAAGAAGAAGAAAAAGTAAATTGAGATATTTTTCTTTTTAAATATATTATACAAATTTTTTTTATTTAGATTCATAAATATATTATTCAAGTAACATTACTTCGTAAATCATGGCCATTAACATTAACTCAATGGCAATTCGTTGAACAACTTAGAGAACAAGAAAAAAATGAAATGAAAAGTAAGACAAATTTTTATAGTATGCATAGTTTATTAAATTCATTTATATATAGTTTTTAAACAACAACCAGCAACAACAAACGCTGCTGGAGCAGCAGGTGGTGCAGCAGGTGGAACAGGTGCAGGTAGCAAAAAGGCAGGGCAAGCAGCTACAGGTGCAGCAGCAGCTGGAAAAGGAAAAGGTACTACAGCTGCTGCTGGCGCAAGTAAAACTGGTACAAATGCATCGGGTCGACCAGGAACTGGTAAAGGACAAGTAGAAAAACCAATCGATATAAGCAAAGCTCATTGGATATTACGAGTTGTATCTGATGCTGATAAAAGCGTAAGAAGAAAAAAAATAAGTTTTTAAATTTGATTACTATTTTATTGTTTAATAAATAGGATGAATTAACAATTAAAAAAGATAATGAACGAACTGAAGAATTGATTAATACGAAAAAAGCTTGGGAAACTGTCGAAGCAGGACGTGCTCAAAAGGCGATGCAAACACGACAAAAATTTCTTGATTCTTTACAACCAAAAGCTGAAGAACGTCCATTATCTGGTACAACAAAACTACCTGAAGGTCAAATAGATGAGAAACCAACTAATGTACCGGCCACAACTGTTGAACAACAGCCAGTTGCTAAACCAACTCCAGCTGCAACAGCAGCTCCACCACCAACAACAACAACACCACCAACTACAACAACAAAGAAAAGTGTTTCGTCAACTGCAGCGAAAAAAGGTGCTGCAGCAAAAGATGAAGCAGCTAAACAAGCTGAATTAGCAGCCGCAGCTGCAGCCGCTGCAGCACAACAAGAAGTTGCACCACCACCACCAGCAATTGATGAACCTCTTCTTGATCAACCACCACCAACAAAACCTAAAATAACTTTACCACCACTTGATATGAAAGCATTTATGAAGTAATTTATTTACTTTTAAAATAAGAATAAAAATATAATATATTTTTTTCTATTTATAATTTTAGACAAAAATTACTTACCGATGAACCAATTATAATTGATCCTTTATTTGAACAAGAAGAATTACGCCGTCGTCAAAATGAATTTCTTGAATATGCTAAATATACACAAGAAATGGGTCAAAATCGTAAAGAAGAACATCAAAATCGATATAAAGAAAAAATTCGTCAATTAGAAGAATATGTTGATTTACAAGCTAAAATCGATCAATTTCGTCGTACTGTTAATGAACCACGTGAAGCATTTCGACAACGTTTTCTTGACGTTGAACGAAAACGTCTTGCTGAATTAGCTGCTCAAGAACAAGAATTAATTGCCGCAGCAGAAAAAGCAAAAGCACCTGTAGCAGACAAAGGCAAAAAAGGTAAAGGTTCAGCAGGAAAAAAAGGCAAAAAATAATATTATCATTGTCCGTAAAATTTCTTTTTTTGTATGGTTACAGTTTTTTTTTGCATAAAATTTTGATTTTTCAATAAAGACATAAAAAGAAAGACACAGAAGTCTTACTTGTAATTAAATCAAAAGAATATATAATCTATAATTTGAAAGATAACATTTTCTTCATACAAAAAAAAACAATAAATATTGATTCAACAATAATATTCAAATTAATACTTAACATATCTATCCGAATACGGTAAAAATGATAATGCTTATATGTACAAAGGAACCATCAACTCGATATAAACAAGAAAAAAAATATTGATTTCTGTAAAATCATATATTGTATAGTAGATTTTGATTGATCATTCATGGACATGTGTAAATACTACTTAGATCTTATATTGAAGCTATATAAATCTTTTGTATGATCTATAGAAATTATGATTTGTATTGTTAATTCTTTAAGTACGGAATTATACTTTGTGAATCCTATAAAATAATGATTACTATTCATCCATAGTTCCAATTGTAAAAATTAACTACATATATAGATAAGAGGAGTATGCGATTACAGTTTATCTTAATTAAATAAATATTCTAGACAGTCATGCATATCATTCTATTGAATAATCATTATGTAATATTTGCAGAAACTAGTCTAAACACGAAATATGTTGTATTCATGGTCGAATGATAAACGTTTGATTTAACTGATTGTAAAAGAAAATAAAGGAAGCAATGATATATATTCGATTTCAAATGAAATAGAAATGATTCATTTCAGTTCATGAATAACATTTAACTTCTGAGAGTATGTTAATCTTGACTTTTTTCTTCATTTTAAAATAATAAATAAATATATGTATATATATATGTATTCTTTTTTGTTCTATTCAAGTTGTACATTAAACGAATTGGATTGTATGACATTTGTACTCTCTGTATTTGTTCTTGAGTATTTTCCATTGTCATATACTCATATCCGCGTTTTTTTTCTTTTCTATAGACTTTTTATTATATAATTTTATTTCGTTCAGGTCTTTGAATTGATTTTTACTTGTCTGTATTCTTTGTATAATACCACCTTTGGTGTTATTAATGATATAGATATCGAATTTTCTTTTTCTTTCAAGGAAGAAAATTATAAACTATATGATAATTATAAAAAAAAGAAAAAGTTTTTTTTTTCAAATAAGACTCATACTGATTTTCAATTGAAAAACTACTTGTTCGTTCTTTTTTTTTCAATTTGAATAGAATACAAATGGCTGATGTAATAGCTTCTTCAGATATTTAAAAATCAACACGTCGAAAAGTCATGAATAAATAAAAGATTTATTTGTCTGTATTTAATCAGTAAGTCTATATCGGATCATTAAAGATGATGATCGTGAATGGTATGATGAGAAGAGAAGTGCTAAACGTGTCAATAAGAGATTCAATATTGATTTTCTTTAGAAGAATATTGAACACGTATATTATTCAATGAACAAAATCTCTATATACTTCAATAAGAAATCATTTACATCTCTTTCATTTAATTTTCAATGAGTGAAGACGATAAAATTATAAGTGTTCTCTTATATCTGATCCATTCGTCTTTTATTTAATACTAGATTTTTTTTCTTCTATCGAGTTGTATATAATCATTAATGAAGTAGAGGTTTTTTTTTATTGTTCTTTCCATTAATAAATATTTATATGTATATATACCAGTATGTCGAAACAGACAGTCATTGAAGCGCATTGATTCGATCTCTATATGTGAGATTTATGAACAAATGTTCGTTGTTTAGACGACAGCGTATATACATATATATTAGAAGAACGAAAAGAAAAAAAAAGTGAATTGTAGAAGGTACTATGATGTCCGACTACTTCTCTTCAATGTTTGCCATCACAACTCTTTACTTATATTTAAAGGTGTGAATAATAGGGCTTACAATAACACACCTAATGAAGTCGGAGAGTTTCATATATATCTTATTTCTACTTGGAAATTTTGTATTAAAATCGTTTTCTACAAATGGTAATTGTTGAAATTTTGAATATATACATATGATTTATTTTCCGTAATTTTATTTTTAAGACAAATGTTCTGGTCGTTGGCAAATCATTGATAATTTAAATATTAAAATAACATTTAATTGGCAAATATTTCCACAAACAAATCGATTGATTACAGAATTTCGAACGAATCTTGTTGAAAAAGGTTTTTGGTATGGGTTTAGTATTTTATCTTCTCCAACTAAACCAGTATGTATCATTAAACAATAAGGAAATATTTATTTTTAAAAATCAAAAATAACATTTAGACAGTAGGACTTGTTTATGCACTTCGATGGCAAGAAAATGATACAGAAAGTTTTTGGGACATTTATAATGTAACAGAATCTGGTGTTATTATTTTACCACAAAATCATACTTCACTTGTTACATTTCAACGTTTAACTTCATCGGGTTTATTAACTGTTCAACCATTATTTAATGTAACATCATTTCTCAATGAAAATCAATGTTTATATTTTGTTTATATGCGAGGACGTTTTTTTCGTGATAGACCATTAATACCCGATGATATTTATTTTAATCAATCTTTATGTCTTACTTGTCAACGTAAATTATTTTTTTTCAAATCGATGATTTATCTTTTTTTGTTATATTATAGGATCTGAATTAATATCAACTGTTGAACCGGTTTATTATAATTCTACAATAGAAGAAGATACAACATTCTTTGTAGAAGATAAATCAACAATAACAAATTCGATTCAATCTTCATCATCATCAATTTATAAAAGAGGTTAACTATATCTTCCTTATTAGATAATTATTCCTATGAATATTTTTAGAAATAAAATTCTTTTGGTTTGGTAGAATTACGAATCGTTTGTGGTCAAATGATTATTATAATTTCACTTCTATTTTAACACAAAAATTACGATTAGATTTACAAAATCTTGTAAATATTTCAAATAATTTTTCTCTTCTTTTTTTAAATATAAATTTGATTTAGTTTTTATTTCTAATCAATTCAAATTCTTCCTATTCATTTATTTGTAATCAATTTGAATTCTATTCATTAAAGTAAGTAATAGTTCTTCTAAAAACGAAAATGTACAAAAAATTCGTTTTTTCTCCTTGCCATGATAGATCAGGTTCAATACTTTTTGCAAGTAATATTACACTTATTTCAAACTTATCCGAAGATGAAACAATAAATATAATAAAAAAACTTATAAATACAATCAATGATTCAAATGATAATAATAATAAGCTTGATTTTGATCGATCAGTACATAATATAAAACGAACCAATGAACTATCGCAAATAAAGAATCTATTTAAAAACTTAACTCGAATAGATATTACTGATTTTTCAAGACAAGCAGAATGTATGTTGTTATTTTTTTTGTAATAAAATTTTATTTTAATATTTATTTTCATTTAGTTGATTCAACATTACATTTACTTATTGGTTGTATTATTAGTATAGGTGTTTTGATGTTATTAATAACAAGTATTCTTTGTCTTTATGGTTATTATAAATGTCGACGACGTCAATTTCGTCGTTTTACTCAACGTTCAACATTAAAATTTAAACAAGATCTTAATTCTTATACATGGTTAGGACAACAACCATCCATCAATTCTTCTTCTCCATATTTGATACAGTCAACTTCTATTTAACTTTTTCTTTTTGTTATTTGCCTTGAACTATACAAAAGAAAGAATATTGAAGGACTTTATTCGAAAAGTAGTTTGTCATGTATATGTCGTCTGCAATCAGTCGAATAGGACTGATGCTCTTAGAATGCATATATACACTTTACAAGTATATATATGTATATGTTGAGTCAACAATTATTATATGTCGTTTTTTTTTCTTCTTGATATGTCATCAGAACTTAATTGTTAGTTATTTATGATAGACATCATCTTATATACTTTCTCTATTGTACAGAATATGGTTATATATCTTACTGATTTGAGAACGAAATTAAAATACGATCAAATTTCTTTATTATTTTACATATATGAAAATAAGAAATTGGTTTAACTGGTTTATATATTGTCAATAGAAGATTCGTATTTAGTGAAGTTTTTTTTTCTACTATAACCTTGGTGATTTGTTATTATTTTTATATCCACACTTGTCTTTTCTTATTTCGTTAGTTTCATCTTACTATTGAAATTGAAGCATAAATATACATAGAATATAGACAGTCATCATTGAAGAGACTATGGTTATAGAGAGTCTAGTGTCGTTGTTGTTGTTGTTGTTATAATAAAAAAAAAAACGGAGAAGAGAGAAAGAAGAAACGCTGCAATATGCCAATACGAATAGAACAGACACTCGCACATACACATATACCTTTTTATTATCAACATAGTTGAAGTTGAGTGGGGAGTAATTTGAAACCGTGTACATACATTCGTTTTCTTTTTACTTTACCTAATTCGATACATTTTTCATTGCAAATCTGTTCTCCGTCTGTAAAACTTATTCATCGTAATAGTAGGCGGTGATGCGACTAAGCCGATTAACAAAGTTTAGAGATAAGCATTAGACTTTTAGCAAGGAAAAAATGAAGAACAATTGAAGGTCATTGAAAAGAAAAACGATTTACATTTTTGACATCGATGGGGAGTGTGAAGAACTTCACTATCATAAATGTTTGGTTATAAAAAAGTTAACAAACAAAACACTTATGTGTAGAGAGGATATCAAAAGATGTTATATAAAAAAAGAAGCAAGAAACGAATACAATCTTGTAGATAATTATACTTCAACATGATCAATTATTTGAATGATAAGAAAAAGAGATGTAGGATGTAATTGATATAGATAGACATATGTATATATATATATATATATATTTAATCGTACGTTTAGCTACTTGATCAGTAAGATCTAATCCTGTCGGAGAGGAACTATGTATTAACAAGTTTCTCTATGTATATTCGCCTCTGTTTCACTTTTTTTCTTTCTCTCTCTCCCGCTCCTCTGTGGACTTGTCTTTTCATTTGAGTTGTAAATATATGTATATATGAAAAAAGTAAAAGAGAAGAGAAAGAAGAGGAGGGGAGGAGGAGAAAGGGTTATGTGACAAAATCTCTTGTCGAACAGTGCAAGGCGAAATTTAAAAAAAAATACTAACATTGGTTGTCACCATCATGATGCAGACAAATAACTTATCATTGGAGAAAAAACGAGTGCCTGCGCGTGCCTTATCATATACGCATAATATGATTTTCATATATTCTCACATTTAAGTGTGAATAAAGGAACATATAATCATAAATATATATTTTTCCTTATTCATTATTGTCATACATTATATTTATGGTTGTAAGTAAAGAGAAATTATCTGCCTAAAAAATATGTCTACAACGATTTTTGCAAAACAAAATCCTTCTCCTACAGTTACAACACGTCGTCCATTACAAACTAATGATGATATTGGTAATGGTTCACAACGAACTAATAATCGACGTAGTTTAAGTGTTAAACTTCGTGATTTATTTCGTAAAGATGCTGCTGCAGCGACTCGTTCAAATGATAGTATTAATAAACGTTCGCCAGGAGTAACACCAGTACGACAAAATTCACCATCACCTGGACCGGGTCAAATATCAGATGAAGCACCTCATCTTCGAGCACCAACAATTAGTTGGCCATTTGGTAAAAAGAAACCAAAATCATTAACAACAAGTACAACAAAAGCTAGCAAAACAAAAACAAAAGATAATCGAAAAACAAAACAAACTGGAACAGCATCATCAACAATAATATCCAGTCCTATCTATGAACAAGAAAATCAATCATCAATACATGGACAAAATTTTGTACCTCGAAGTCCGCAATTTGTACATGGTAGTACAGAAAGAATTCAATCGCCAACTACTTATAATATGACGACAACAACAACAACAAGAGAATATCGTGATTATCCTATAACAAATCAACCTCAATATACTAATCAGGTAAAAAATTGAGTTTTGTTTCTTCTTTTTACAAAGTAATTTCTATTGCTATTGTTACAATAATAACAAAAACAACATTCAAAAGCAATCGTTTGTCTACTTAATCTTTCACTATTGATAGCTATCTAATACTAAATGTATGCATGTATGTGTCTTATTTGTAACTTGTTTGTCGTTGTCTTTCGATTCTCTTATATTGGCATTTTAACATGACATTTATTTGAATAACCGCCTGATAAAAAAAAGAGAAAAGAAACGAAGAAGAAAATAGTTTGTGCGTTAAAAAACACTTGATAACTATAAATATGATTGTAATAAAAAGCTGTTTATTTAGCACAAAATCTTAAGAAGATGTATTAATGTTGAAGAAGAACTAGAAATAGAATCTTTCTTTCTTTTTTTATTCTCTTCTTTCTTCTATTCCTCCTCCTCTTATCATTTATCTATGGCATTCTTTTAAACGAAAAGAAATAGATTATATTGGCTTTTTTTTTCATTTTACACCTTTTTATTACAGGTATTTATATCTGATCGTGATGTTCATACACCTCCATTGTATACATCTGATCGTAGTCGTTCACCATCCATGAATCGTCAACGTTTATCAGAATATAATTTTCAACGTGAAAAATCAACATCACCAATATCAATTCCATTAGCAGATATAGAAGTTATACCTACACCTCAACAGAAACGTAAAGTTGATAATATTTCACCATATAACAATACTCAAATATTAGTTGATAAACCACCCATATATTCTCAAAATTCACCTTATCCTATATCATATGTAACTTCAAATCCAACACAATGGAAAAGTACATCATCTTCAACATTAAATAATACAGGAGTATATTCATCATCAACACAAATGGATGTTGATGCTCCAAAATTAAATGCTCCTTCAGTTCCTTTTGGTAGTGTATCAAGTAAAAAAAAATCTAAAGCAAGTAAATCAAAAACACGTACTGATGGAATGACAAGTTCATCAACAACAATTAATAATTTGATACAACAAAATCCAATACAACCACATCGATCATGGTCAAATACATATGGATCATTACCAGATGCGGAATTAGTTTATGATCATAGTTTAAAACCATTGAAACCTAGCAGTAAATTTCTTTATATTTTTATAGAAATGATTCAATGATTATCCTCCTTTTCTTCTAGCTAAACAATATCCAGGATTAAGTGCTATAGTTCGACATCATCTACGTCCTGCAAATGTTTATTATAATGATCAACCATCTACAACAATAACAGGAACAACAACAGCTGCAAGAACACCACCAACAAATTCTCATCGTCTACAACGTTTTGAAACATCAACTACAACATTGAATGAATTTGAACAAGAACAACCATGGTCTCAACCTTCAATTTATGGATCAGTACCAACAAATTTTCCTACTCAACGTTACGATGGCTATATTCGACCAATAACTCCTCAACAACCATATATTCAAGCAGATATTACTATAAGCCGTGTTGATTTTGATGATGCTCATCGTCAACCAGTTCAACCTCAGCCAATACATCAAATTTCACC